GGAGTAAGCAGGTAGAAGTTACACCGAGGCAGAACCTTCTGCTACTGGGAACACGGGAAACACGAGTGTCAAGAGGAGCCAGACCATTCAGCAGCGGCCAGGAGTGAGCCGTGAGGTTGCTTTTTGAGGACAGAGCTTCAGTAGATTGGTGAATATTTAACAATTGCTCTGCTTCCCAGCAAGAAGACAGGACATGGGATCTGAAGGAATGAGCAGCTGCTGAAGAGAAGACAAGTCAGGGACCTGTTTATTGGAGATGTCAGTCCTTTCTGTTTCCTGTGAGGCTATTAGCTCTGATCCACTCCTGACATACAGTAGGCACTTTTTATTGCCATTTGCAAGTAACTAATGCCCATTGCTCACTGTTTTAAGCAATTAGGTGAACACATCTGCTTTAATATACCTCAGATGAAGAATGGTAGGGGAGAATAGTCCTTACATTGGTATTCATCAAATTCCATCAGCATACTTGTACTTTTATCCTAATTATTTTGTCAGATACAGAGGAAATAGACTGGGAAAAGAAATCCCACATGACTATCAGGCCAGATACCAATGCTTTCCAGACTGCCATTATTACCCAAATACAATTTTTCTCTTTCAGCTTGGTGCCAGCACTGGTGTTGATGGAGCAGCCTATGGAAAGGACTAGTTCAGGTCAGTAGAGAGGTTTTGCAAACATGCTGGCAGAGGTGTTTTCCCTCCTCCTCATGCACAAAACCACAGCTAAGTCTCTAATTGACTCTTTTTGTTGTGAGCATCATCTTATAGCTATCCAGGAAACCTGGGTAGAAGCCCCCCATTTTTACTCTGGCCTGTGAGCTGATCCCTTACAAGTCCTGCTGTCCTGTTCCATCAGAGCAACAGGCAGAGGCATGTTTGTTCCCTTCTCTCCCATCACTGAGATATCATTTACTATTAAGTCACAGAGGACCAGAGACCTCAAAGGCAGCAAGGGAAGATTTACAGCACAGAGGCTGTCAGTTGCTTTGGTCTAATTAAATGGTTCCTGCCTCCTTGACTCGGTTCCAGCGCAGTGGAGCTTGACTTGTTAAGCGTTAGGGAAGTGTCCTGGCTGCTCACAGTTACTAGTGCCTCAGCTCCAAAGTGTGACTGTTTGGCTGAAATAAGCTGTAAAATCTGTCACTGCCTTCCCACCCCTCTTCACAGGATGGATGTCCCTGCAGGTGGGTGCCTGCATCTGGGATAGCAGCAATAGAGCACATGGAGTATGGAGCACCACAAACAGGCAGCTGGACAAAGGGCCCACAGGGCCATTGCTGCCCTTGAACCCTCTTTGAAGATGTAGGCACTTTTCATCTTCTCTGCTTGCTTTTCACAGGGGCAGTGGGAAGCTGGCACTAGAAGAGCACTCTGGAAGTGAGGACCAATTTCAGTGGGGTCCTCTCCATATGACCCCAAGACACTCAGGCAGGTGCTCTTCCCCTCCTTGCCCAGAGTCGCCCTGCCTCTGCTGGGGCACTTCCCAGCCTGCCCTGTCATTCTCCAAATTTCTAAATATCTGGAAACTGAGCTGACTGAGTCCTTCACCCAACACCCTCAGCCCATTCATTCATGCCAGTGAAGTAAAGAACAGGTCACGGTTCAAGTGTGTCTATTCACCTCAGTCACTTGAATTATTTTTGATTACAGATTATTATTTGTGTCTTGTTAACAAATTGGCTGGTGTTAATTGTCAGAACACATGCTACCCAATTGGCTCTCCACATCATACGGTACTCCCCCCCTCCCCTGATTGGATGAATCAAATTTTATTAAACAGCAGCCTTCTTTCTCCCTTGCTTGCAGATGATGCATGAGCAATTGTAGCTACTTGGCAATTCTGTTGTGAAACAATAAAAGAGCTTTTCAAACTGCCAGGAGAGGAAATACAGTGTGAATACTCTTGCAAATATTTACTTGTGCTCTTATTTGCAATATTTTATTGTGTAATAGATTTAATGATGCTATTTATCAAATAATGATGATTGCTGTCTTTAATAAATTCAAATTTAGCTAAGCAATTTCCAGAAATATCTGACAAAATTAAGAGAAAATTCCAGTGCACTAAATATAAGAGATAGGAGAAACCAATAAAAATAATTTCAGCTGTACGACGCTTAGATACTGCACAAATGTGTATTTCATAAGCACCTTAGAGGGAAAAAAAGCAGAGAGTTACCTCAGATGCAATCCCAAATTAGCAAATGCTGTATCTCCACCTCTTCTATTTGGCAGCACCCAGTCAGGACACAGTGGACTGACCTTTTCACTGCAAGCAGGGCTGAGCAAAGACAACCACATCCAAAGGTCTGTCGCTTCAAGTCAGGGCTCTGCTAGAAGCCGTAGTTTAGAAACCTGGGGTGTTTTCAGGCTTTGGGGTGGTTTCACAAGGAGGGCTGCCTCACTCCAGCACCTTTCCCAGCTCTGCTCTGGCCCCAGTGCCACCCCATTCTGCCTCATGGGAAAAGAGGAAAGGGTTTCCAGCAGTAACAGGGATCAGTAAGAGTCCCTCGGGCTTAATGAATGGGTCAGTCAATGGTCATGGAGCTGTGGCTGACATTTATTCCATCCAGGCCAAGCAATTAGATGTGGAGACATTCTTTCTCTACTTCTTTCCTGCTGTGCAGTATATCTCTGAAGCTTCCAGCACCCACACAGGTAATTTCTTGCCATCTGACATATCTTTATTGGAAAACAAGAACTACAGAAAATGCTGAATTTCAGAATGATTAAAGAAAACACAGAAAAATGTAGTGAAATCTTCCTGAGGTGGGCATCAGCTTTTAATGCTTTTCTTTGAAAGATCTTTAAGGGTATGTTCCTATAATACTGAAGACAAGGTCAGTCTCCAAGTCCAGTCCCTTTCCCTGGAAGCTGAGGGCTGGACATCTTCCTGTGGCAAAGACTTGAAAGGCTCTATCCATATAGAGTCTATTGAATCATTAAGCTGAAAGTGGTGAGGTGCAAAAGTTCCTCAAAAATCTATGGGATCTAGGCTAGGAATATGAAAAAGAAGCATTGAGGACACATTCCTCCTAGACTTAAGGAGCTCCTAGTCAGTGCCAGAGAATGGGACCATCTCCAAAATACCTGAGTTTCATTGAAATCAAGCACACTCTTTTCTCATCTCACTAAAATGAAAGCACTGTCTTTTTTCACATTGCTATTTTGACTTCTTTGAATATGCAACAGCAGCTTCTATTTCCAAGAAACACAGTAAATATGTATTCTTGGAGAGCCAAGATCCTCTTTACTAGTTCTGAAGTGCCCAGATCTTCAAAGCAAGAAGTATTTCCTCCAGCTGTCCATGCACGAAGTTGATTTATAACTAGTTTTCTGTTCAAACCACTGTAATTTTGTGAAATGATAGCAGTATTGATTCCAGTAAGAGTTTCACTTTGCTGAAACTACCAGGCCAGAGGGACTAAATGGAGCCTTGGAGTGAATAATATAGCTTTCCACTTTATCAATTTCATCTGTTTTGCTCTCCACCTTCACTTAACAACCTACATCTCTTCTTTCCTTCCTTCTTTTCCCTTTAAGGCACTAGTCTTTTGCTCTGGTTCACAGCTATAAATGATTGAATGTATTTTCTTACCTGGGAACTCTGAGCAGCATCAAAATACAATCTGAACAATGAATGGACTGCTTGACATCTCCAAGTGGTTCACGTTGCTGTATGGGAAGCTGAATTCTGGCTCCAAAATACACTGAATTCTGGAGTTGAAAGAAGAAAATTATTTTTCAATATTTTTCAGTGGAAGGAAATATTTCTAGTTCAGTTTTTATTAAAATAAAAAGCAATAAAATATTTAGGAGAAAAATGAAATTCCTCAGTCTGGACTACATTCTGCTGTCAGATATATTGAGATGAATGAAGATAAACTTTACTGAAGACAATGAAAATATCCCGGTGTAAAACTGGTCTGAAGACCAGTTCCACAGAAAGACAAATTCTCACCTATGTAGGAGACAAAAAGGGGAGTTGGGTGATATTTCTGGATCTGTAACCTCAACAGTGATCTAATTTAGAGAATAAGGAAGAATTGCAGATGAATTCCATATATTTTCCACCCACATTCCTGTGTGCAGGTGTGGCTGAGCCTCCATTTCTAATGTCACAGTGAAAAAGCCCAGAAAATACAAATGCTTCGGCGGCACTATTAATTCAACCATAGGCACAGCGTATATGTCAGCATAAATCTTCAGTAGCCTTGCCAGCTACTGAAACTGCTGCTTCTGCATTAGCTTTCTCTGTACTCACTGACTTAAAGAAAGAAATTTCAGAAAGTGAGAGGGCTTTAAAGGTGTTAGGAAAAAACACCACTTAGAAAAAATAAGAAAGAGATAAATATTTGATTTTTCTTGGCATGCATACAACATAGATTTATTTTTGCAAATGGACCATCCAAGGCTCTGTAAGTTTGAAGATTTTTAAGGTAATCATTCAGGAAAAAAACACAGAAAATAATATAAACAGGTTCTAGCATGATCAAATAACACTTTGGATTCTATCATAGGAAGCATAGTTTAAAGCAAAGCTGAGACATGCTGCATTTCTCTCAAACATTTTACACAGTGGTGTGGCTCCAGCGCGGGGATGTCACCAGTCAGCACAAGGGGTCAGATTTGGAGGTAGAGGTGGGTTGCTGCCTCCATGCTGGTGCTAAACAACCACATGGTGTAAAACCCTTCTGTCTGCAGTCCATCCCCATGGCCCCAGGGAGAGGAAATTGCTCAGCAGCTCCTGATGTGGAGAAAAAAGTGCAGAAGGGAGAATGTTCCTGCTCGAGAACCAAGCCAAGCATGAAATTAATATTTCCTTTATTTCCTTTATCTAAAAAAAAAAAAAAAAAAAAAAAAAAAGAGTTAAAAAAAAGCAAAAAAGAAAGGCTGTAACATAGGAATAATTGTAAACTTGAAAGCCTGGGGATTGGCTTTGAATCTCCTTGTGGGAAGTGGGGTGCTTTGGCTGGTTCACTTCTCTCCCTGTTGAGCAACACGGAGCTGAAAAGATGTAGGATGTGCCACACAGTTAGACTGATACCCAACCTGCTGCCCGGGTGAAATCCCTGTAGCTCTTGTATTCTCAGTCCCCTTGGGAAAACTTCACGCATGAGGCACACGTAGGGCCTGTGCAAAAGCTCAAACCCCCAGGAATGGATTAGGATAGGAGCCTTGCTGGACCACCATCTGCCAAAACACACTTCAGAAAGGTGGTGGGGCTTAGAGGGGTTTTCCCCTGGAGAAAATGGAAAATAGTCTTGTGCAGGGCTGTGCATCAATGCTTGTTTTTGCTTCCATGGTGGGATTTCATTAAATGCATTGCATTTCTTCATCTCTCTGTTTCCTTTAAGGAAGTGCTCTAAAAGGAACCATCGGCACTGGGACTGACCAAAACTGGGGTGTGAAACTAAAGCCTGGACAACTTAAGAGGTATGGGATATAATGAAAGCTGCATCTTAATTTTCCCGGAAGAAAATTGCTCAGGATTATTTTTTTTAATTTGTGTTTTTGCTCACTCTCCCTTTTTTTTTTGACAACCACAACTCAGCACTGCCTTACCCTTCCCTCCTGCCCAGGGTTTCCTGAGGAGGAGCTCTGCATGCCCTGAGCCCAGCACAGCATAGCTGGTGCATTTCTCCTGGCTTGTCACAGAACTCTGAAGCTTCCCTGGCACTCCCCAGGCCAGGCAAATTCTCAGTGTTATTGTCACCACCAAGTGCTTGAAGCAAAGCAAATGAGCAGTGGGGACTGGCAAATACCGTGGCTGGCAAGGAGAAGCACAGCCTCCCCCCGTGAGGAAGAGCCACATCCACCTGGAATGGGCACATTTTGGAGGGTGCTGGGCAGGGTGGTGGGCAGGTAAATACCCAATATGTCATGCAGTTACAGCCTTTACTCCCTGAAAGGTGAGATGAAGGAGGAGAGATGGCTGTTATGCATTGAAAACAAATGACCCAATCTTGACCATTCTGGGCACAAAACATCACAACCTAAAATGAGGTTGTGATGAGGTGAATGTCAGTCTCTTCTCTCAGGTAACAAGGGATAGGACAAGAGGAAATGGCCTCAAGTTGCACCACAGGAGGTTTATATTGGATGTGAGGAAAAATTTCTTCACCAAAAGGGTTGTCAAGGCTTGGAACAGGTGCACAGGGAAGCAGCTGAGTCACCATCCCCGGAGGTATTTAAGAGCCGTATAGATGTGGCACTTAGGAACATGGATTAATGATGGACTTGGCGATGTCTGGTTAAGAGTTGGACTCAATGGTCTTAAACACCTCTTCCAACATAAAGAATTCTATGAAAAAGAGCATAATTATGGAAAAGGTAGTTGCAGCACAAAGTAAAAGGCTAAATAAATTCGCATGGCTTTTCTGGTTCTGAAAAGCCTGTCTTTGGGAAACCTAGAAATTAGGCTTTACCTGCTCCATTCTTCTGCTTTGACTGGCTTGAACTGTCACTGTTTCCCAAGGTCTGACATGCAGCAATGTTACTGCTCAGGGCATTGTTTTTTCCCTGACATATGTCCAAGTTTTTGGTCCCTTCAACATACTGAAGCACAGCTCTGCTTTGAAAAGCCACAATCTCATCCTAAGTCATCAAGCTGCTCCTCCTCTCAGCTAGAAACCCAACGTGCCTTTTAAAAAAGAAAAATAATTGTTTTTTTTCCCCTGCAATTGCTATTTCAGAGACAGCGTGGACAGTGCAGCAGGAGATGGACTCTGGTGGCTCTGCAGTCTCTACTTTTCCAAAGGAAAAGTGTCTGACAGGAGGAAACATCTGGGGTAAGGAGCCACTTAGCATGCTTGGGATCCCACCACGCTTTGGTCCTTTTTCCTGGCAGGCTGCCGCCCTCCTCCTGCCCTTGGTGCACCCACAGGCCTTTAAATTTCACGAAAGCTCTTTGGTTCTGGAGAAAATAATAATTAGAAGGAAAAAAAAGAAAAAGCAGAGGGGGAAAAAAAAAAAAAAAAAAGTCCTCCTTGATTGCTGAGGCGCTGATGGCAGGACCCCTCCTTCCCTGCTGAACCACTTAATCAGGCTGGCCCCGGCAGCAGCAGGTGCCCACCGGGGCGACCTCGGGAAATCTCCTCATCACCGGCAAATGGCCCTGATGGCCCAGCAGGGGCCCTGGAGGCCGGCTCTTAGCGAGCTCAGAGGAGCTTCTCCGGCAGGGCTGGAGCTTCCCGTCCTGTCCTTCTCCAACGCTGGGAGCAGGGAGCCAGCCCCGCGCTTTCCCTGGGCGGCTCCCTCAGGCTCTGGCTGCTGGATGCTCAGCCCTGAGGCCTCGACAGCCAGCCCCGTGCTCTCAGTTTGGAGACTTATAGCTCCTTGGGGGAAAAATGGGATTTCTGAGGAAAGGCGGCATCAGGGGGGCACCTGTGACACAGACTGGCTTCATTCACCATTTTCCTGGCATTGCACCTTTTTGCTTATGGCCACATGTCTGTAAGCCAGACAGACACTCCCTGCTCATCCTCTGGGAAGTTGTGCCTTCATGTATGGTGCTCATATGGGGCCTTATTCCAAATCTGATCCAATCTGTCTGTATTATGGAAGAAAGCACAATTTTGGCATAACCTTAGTGCTTTTCCCTTGGTTTCTGTGCCTACTATGAATACCAATGTCTTCCCGTGACCCACAGCTCTCTGCCCTGGGCATTAGCAGTGTTATGTGGCTGCCCTACCAACTTCACTGGAGGTGACATGATTACAGCCCCTGTCTCCTCTGGATAAATGTCTTCAGTTGCTCAGCAACCTCCACACAAGGATTAAATTAACTTTGATTACAATTACAGACAGCACAAATCAGCCTGCACCATCAGAAGAAAGCAGAGCATGTTTTTTTTTTTTTGTTGTTGTTGTGTTTGTTGTTTGGTGGTTTGTATTTTTTTTTTTTTTCTGGAGGATTTTCTTCTCAAATGCTGCTGTTCGGGGGGGGGGGGGGAGGGTGGAATTACATCTCACCCCTTTCCCTCCCTTGCTTTGTGTTTAGCATGGATGCATCCCAACCCTGATGCTTTAAAATGCACAGTGGGATTGAGCACAAAAGAGTTTGTTCATTTACATGCCTGAAAATATTTGCCTGCTTGGGAAAGAAAAGCAGAGAGGAGGCCCATGTGCTGAAGGCAGCTTTGCTCTTATGTCAAGGCCCCAAAACTTCCTTTGGTGAAACTGATAGGCTTAAATACAGCTACTCATCACCTCTATAAGGCCTTTGCTGTCACCTCCTCCAGGTGCTCAGGTTAATAATAGCAACGTGCAGTTATTATATATGGCTTCATGGCTCCCTGGAGCAGACTTCCTGTCTGGGAGGCGCAGCTCCATAAAACCCCCAGATGATGAGGAATGCAGGCAACCAGCCCCACAGGGATCAGACCTGTGCCACACCAAGTGGGAAGATTAATCACCTCTATCTGCTGCTCGTGGTCTTCTGTGTCTGCACCTGGAGGAGACTTGCCGGGTTGGCAAGAAGCTTTCATGGTGCCCAGCATCTTGCTGTGTGGGCTGCAGTGGGGTGACGTGGAGTGGCAGGAAAGCCTTTGCCTGGGGTCTAGAAAACCGAATGTTGCTTGAAGCACTGCCTGTGTACTCCTGGCTTGGGAAAGTCTGACTGTTCTGCTCCCTGTTCTTACACCTCTTCTCTTCACCACGTCCTTTTAGCCAAAACAAGGCCTCTCTTTCTGTGGTTTCCCCACTTTCCCAGCCTGTGGCTCTGGAGAGCTGAGTGCAGCTGGCCACCATCAGCCGGCAGGAGGCCTGCTGGCATTGCTCTGAAGGAACTGCTGAACTGTTTCTTCAGGGAAGAACCTCCCTCAGGTAGATGGAGGGGAAAATGGTAGAGTGGTGAATCAGTGTGGGACTGGGACTGGCAGCACCATTGAGAGTCACACATAACATGGGTGTAGACAAAATTAATGTTTGCTTTTTAGATGCCTTAATGGAGGGGCAGTGTTTATTTTCTCCCTGGGCAAAGATGAAAAGGAGGAGAAGGCAGCAGCTTTTGCTCCTCTCTGTGGTTCTCTTGCCAGGAGACTTCTGCCAATGCAGTAGGTAAGGACATTGGCTGCTGCAGGAATTGGCCAGCAACAAATGACTGTTCCCATGTGGGAGTGGGGAAGGAAGTGTGGAGGCTCATTACATTTAATGGAATTACTCTGGACTTAGAGCAGGGTATGTGACAAAGGAATTTGTCCTTCTCTTATTTTCTTCCCTCCCTCCCCCCCTCCCTCCCCCCTTCCTCCCTCCCGCCCTTCCCTTTTCAACTATATAAGAGTCTGGTCATGCTGGTTTGTGATCCAAAGAGGCTCTTTGCAGTTCTCCTTAAACAGGGACCCCCTGGTCTTGCACAGGTAGAAGTAACATGGCAGAACAATTTCTAAATGGGCCTAGAATTTGGCCAAGGCTGCTGCAGTGCAGAGGTCTGATGCAAGTGTTCTGCCCTGGCATTCTTTACCTGCTGCCCTTGCTGCTTCTCCAGAGAAGAGTCGAAGCTGCTCCTTGGCCTTCTGCTCATTTCATGTATGGGAGACATTGGCCAAGAGCGAGTTCCCTTTGCACCACCTGCAAAACAGATAGCTGGAGAAACATTGGCCAGGATGGCCCAGAGGTAGGTGGGATGCGGGGCTCCACCCACTCCACCCTCCTCAGCTCTCGTTTTTGCTTTCCTTGTTTAATGCTGGGGGAGATGGAGATGGCCCAAAAGCTGTGGCAGTGCCATCTTGCTCCCTCAGGAATGCGCCTCTCCTCACCTCACTGGGATTGCACTCCTGTCCTGGCATGGAGCCCCCAGGTCCCAGGTACTGACCTTCCCTCTGGGGCTCCCAAGGCTTGTCCATGCAAACCAGGCTGGGGCCATCTCCTGCTGGATCCTTCATGGGTTACTCAGGCAGGTACCCAGGCTGTGGCAGTGGGTGGCTACCTGCACGCTGGGAAAGTGCCTAATCATGATCTGTCACTACTCATATCTGCCTTTCAGTGTCTGCTTTCTCTCTCCTGAGTGTCCTGATGGTTCCTGACACTTTCACCTTCCTCTTCCTTGTGTGTACCCAGGGGAAAGCGTCTTTGACTCACGCTCCCGTTCCACTGTGACGTATTTCAGCCCTTGCTGCAGCCTGCTCTGACCACTCGCCAGAGCGCAGCACGTCAGACAGGCCAGAGGTTGCCAGGATTTGCCTTTCCAAAGTCGCATTTCTGATGAGGAACATTTGCATTGACCAAGTTCGCCTTTCACAGACTTGGTCAAAAAGATCACTTTGATCTTGAGATCATCTTGGAGTGGCAGGTGCATGCTCACCTTTTTCTAGTCAGGCTGGACTTTCAAATTACTTAAATGTGGCTTGTGTCAGTCCCTTGCTGTGAAAAGAAAACTTGAGCTACTGCTTGGCATCTTCATCTAAAGAGCTCCTGTGATGCCCTCAAGTAGTTGCTTCAGCAGTGGTGATGGAGGCATCAAAAACTAGATGCCCAGGTGTTCTCACTGCCCCTACAGTTCTTCTCAACACCTTTCCTGGCCATGGCAACCTACAGCCTCTGGCAAAGGTGCTGTCTGTCCTCCATTTCCCTTTCAGGAAGAAGTGTCCACAACATCCATTTTCTCCTATGCAAATAAACCCAAGTTTCAGAATATGAAGATTTTTAGGTCCATTTAGATACTTATTTACTAACACAAAAGCAAGTGCCCCCATAATTTAATATGCTTCTGGAAGTAATTTGATAGAAGTCCTTTGTTTCTTTTCCTCCTGTCATCTTGTATTTGTTTAATTTGGCTGTCGTGACATGAAGTGACAGAGCCCGTGCTCCGTTTTTACAGACAGCAAAACTCCGGGATTCTTCTTTCTGCACTGTTAGAAATGTATGTATTCTCCCATCACTATTGTGTCAGATTACTGACCCCCTTAAGAATAAATGCATTTTAATACAGCTGACCCAGAAACCTCCCAAAGGGGAGATAAAGTGTAGCTCTGAGAACCAGCAGAATTTGCTGTAACTTAGAGAGGAATCAGAGAAGGGTCCAAAGTGGCTCAGTGCCATGGTTATTTCCCATTAACATGTCCACATTTCCTGCTGCTCACAGCATTCTGGTCCCAGGGTTGCATCCGTTCCTCTGGTTGGGAAGGAATTGCTCACACAGAGTTTTCAGCAATGTTTATCCAGAAACACAGATTCAAGGGAAGATCAGGCTTTATTCCTGTGCAGAGAAGGCAACAGGGATGTCCCAGAGATGGGACAGGGAACCCTGATGTCAGGCACAGCAGGCACCGAGAGCAGCAACATCCAAAGACAGGTATTACTCAGGCACAAGCCCTGCAAGGGCGAGAAGGCAGGGGACACAGCTGTCTGCAGGGGTTGGGGAGGAGCATTACAAATAACGCCTCACAGTGCATTTGCCTGGCTGGCAATGTTCCTGGCACTTCTCTTTAAAAATATTTATCAGAAGAAAGGAGAAACAGCAGGAAATTGCAGACTCAACCTTGTATGTAAATGCAAAGCTGCAGTGTGGAGGAGAGGAAAATATCTTTCTCTTTCTAGAAGTTTTAATACATTTATTCTCAAATTTCATACCATGAATCTAGCTCCCTGTCCATTTTAGCAAGTTATTTTTAATAATTTCTGTAAAATGCATTTAAAGCCTGAAGGACATGCTCAGTTTGGAAGACCACAGGCTGCTTCCACTCTTCTTGCTTTGAGGTTTCTGAATCGAGTGTCTCGGTTCCTGTGGGGGTCTTCAGTTCAAAGGAAATGTCTTCGTATTATAGCCATGGCAAATTGTTGGGCGGGAATTTTTGTCACCTTGGATGGCTCCAGTTGCCCATCATATTATTCTAACACCTTCCTCAAGCACCACAGGCCTCAGGTGCTTAATGTCTGTGCCAGAACCTACCAGTGGCCAAATACAGACCTTTGCAGCAAA